AAATAAATAAATAAATAAAATTAAATAAAAAATAAAGTCAAGGTCAGTCTGGGCAACTTAGCAAGACCCTGTCCCAAAATAAAAAGTGAAAAGGGTTCTGGCTCAGCGGTAGAGCACCCTGGGTTCAGTCCCCCACTACAAAGAAAAAGAGACCACGACAGAGAGAGAGAGAGAGCGAGAAGGAGGAGGCAGACAGACAGAGAGACAGAGACAGAGAAAGGAAGGGAAGAGCTTAGAAAAGAAAGAGAGGGTCTTGTGTTTTGGCGCACACCTGTACTCCCAGCACTCAGAAGGCTACGGCAGGAGGATCGCCACAAGTTCAGGGACAGCTTGGGCTGTGCAGTGAGTTGAAGTTCACCCTGAACAACAAAGTGAGCCCTGTCTCAGAAGAAGAGAAGAAAAGCAGATTCTGGGCTGACATCCGTAGTGTGCACTGTCACCCTTGCACACTGGGAGGCTGAAGCACGAGGCCATGAGTGCAAACCCAGCCTCAGCAGCTCAGCAACCCAGCAAGATCCTGTCTCAAAACATAAAATATAGAAAGGGCTGGGGGTGTTTCCAGTACTGAAAAAAATAAGAAGAAAATAAAGCTGATTCTGATTCAGCCACATAGAGCAGACCTGAGAGTCTGCCCGTAGACTGTCCCTGTGGGCTCAGTGTCCCTGAGTGGACATTTGGTAGGAAGTGGGTTCATATTCTCCCCTTTGCTCAGTGGTACCTCCCCCAGTGGCACCAGTACGTCCTGTCAGGTGTAACCTTGCTCCCTCTTCACAGAGCAAATTAAGGCAGCCCTGTAATGTGTACTGAAACGCCACACTGCACTATGACCCGTGGTAATTACTTGGCAGTTAGGACAAGGAGCTCCAGGAGACCACATAGGTGCAGAGAGGGTCAGAGCATAGCCCCAATGCCAGAGCCACTCAGCAGAAACCAAGTGTGGGCACCTCTTCCTCCAACGCCCCCTCCATTAAAAACACCTGTGTGGGAGGTGGCTGCCTCCCTTGCACACCTGGCCCCACGTTCGCAGGCTTCAGCCCCTGCGCAAGCTCCACAAGGCCAGGCCTCCTTCCCCGGGGCTGTATTACTGGCTCTCACTCCGTGTCTGCAATGTTGGCCCTTCTGCTGGAGGAAGCAGGCTGCCTCTGCTTTTTTAAAACAAGTACTTCCTCTCCTCTCTTCCTCCAGCACTGCATCCACAGCGTGGTCAAGGGTGCTGCTTCTCTCCTCCAGGCAGCACAGAGCCTCCTGACCATACTGTGCTGGACACACGTGGTCTCCCAGCCTACCTGACAAAAGACCACATGGCCACAGCCACACTGACACAACCCACAATGGCCATGCCAGGCTGTCTGTTCTCATGCTGTGGTCCCCTGGGCCACATCCTCTGCCTATGCTGTGCCTTACTTCTGGTCCTCTTCATTCTCCTGTCATCTTGCAAGGACTCCAGGGGACACTGTGTCCCCTGGAGTCCTTATAGTTCAGCTGAGTGTCTACAGCCAACAGGACTGTGGGCCACACCCAACCAAGTGCCCAGCCCTTCCTGACTTGCCCTCCTGTCATGTGGCAAATCCAGTCTTCTTACTGCTCCACCCAAAAACCTCACAGTTCTCCCCAACTGGCCTCTTACAAGGGCCTTGCTGGCCACATTGACAACACCAGCACCATCGTATGTTTGGTTTTTGTTTTGTTTTGTTTGTGGAACTGGGGATTGAACTCAGGCCCTTGTGCTTGCCCGGGAAGCACTTATTCCACTGAGCCATCTCCCCGTCAGCACCATCGTATGGACCAAGGTGGGTTTGTGATTGGTGACAGAAGGGAGACTCCTTGGTCCTCAGGGCCAGAGCACAGGCATTGCGAGCAGGCGCACCCTGAGTTTCACACCCACCCTGGCAGCCAGGGGCTGTGTGCCTGGCCATGCATGCCAGCAACACGACAATGGTGCTTCCCGTTTCTTGGCGTTTGCTTCCGGCTCATTTTCCAAGTCTGACCCTGCTTCCTCTTGGTGACATCTGATGGTTATCCATAAGCACCCCTACCCCAGGGCGACCTGAGCTCCACACTCAAGCTGTTTTATGATCTATTTTTCTTTTCTTTTCTTTTTCTTTTTTTGTACCAGAAATCAAATTCAGGGCCTCACGTGTGCCAGGAAGGCACTGTGCCCCTGAGCTAAATCCCTGGCTCCATGATATCATTGTTAACCAGGTTCTCAGTAAGTTGCCCAGGCTAGGCTGAAACTGCCTGTCCTGCTTCAGCCTCCCAAATAGCTGCAATTATAGCTGGGTACAACCACACCTGGTCCAGTAAATTCTTTTCATGCTTAAGCCAAGTACTCCAAGTACTGAAAGATAGAAACCCCTTAAAATCATAAAAATCCATTGGGTATGGGGGTACACACCTGTCATTCCAGCACTGTAGGAGACTGAGCCAAAATGATCCAAAATTTAAGCCTACCCTGGGCCACTAAGTAAGATCCTGTCTCAAAAATGAAAAACAAAAACGATCTGGAGATGTTAACTCAGTGTGAAGGCCCTGGGTTTGGTCCCCAAGTATACACACACACACACACACACACACACACACAGCCCTTCTCTGAGCTCCCCTAGAAGAACCTGGAGAAGCCCCGTGCCCCCTGGGGACATGCTTGTCCACAGGGTCCCATCTGCTCTTCCTGGTGCTAGCCAGGGCTCACCCTGCCTTCCTGCTCTCACCTCACTGTTGCTTCTGCTCCTCCTTCTAGGCGGCCCAGCCAGACATCAGGGTCCTGGGCAGATACAGCTTTCTTTTTTTTTTTTTTTTTTTTTTTTTAATTTTTATTTATTTGTTTATTTATTTATGTACTTTGTGTGTGTGTGTGGCCAGCTCAGCCCACCAGGGGGCGGGGCTGGCTGGCATGTGGTGCTGGGGGATTGAACCGTGGTCCCTGTGCTTTGCTTAGCTTAGCTTGTTCTAAGTAGGTGCTTTAGACTACTGAGCCATCTCACCAGCCCCCAGATCCAGCTTTCTTCTTGCCCTCAGCCCATAACCGCCATCTGCTCAGCTGCATGCCCACTCAAGCCTCCGCGCTCTGGACACCTGCGCTGCTACCTTTTCTCTGCAGCTCGCTGGGCTTTCACAGCCTCCTGGAGGCCTCTGTCTGGGCGTCAGTCCCTGCCACTCCGCTTCTACCACGCAGGCCAGGCTACTTTGTGGCTCCCCAGGGAGCCCAGTCTTGACCTCCAGGATGGGACAACATGGAGAAAGCCAAGGCCTCACTCTCACTGGTGCCCTTGGGCTCAGCCAATAACATCTGAGCTGTGGCTTCCCTGGGCTTCACTGCTGAGGGAGGAAAGGTGGTGAGTGGACCTGAGCAGGGAGGGATAGTGTGGGTGCAGCTGGCACAGCCCTGGCAGCTGTCACCTCTCCCCTTCCTTGACCTGCCCAGTGCTGGACTCAATGTCGGTTCATCTATCCTCCAATCTGCACACAGCAGCCTGGCAGCCCTCCTAATGGCAGCTCCATCCTTCTGAGCCTAGTATTGTAGAGGACGGTGGCCCTGGTTAATCTCATCCTAAGCCAAAGAAGCTCTAGTTTAGTATCCAAGTCACTTTAGGAATAGGAGAGACTAAGGCAGAGTCAGCTCAGATTGACTCTGGGGGGGCCAGGGAGATAGCTCAGTGGAATAAGTGCTTGCCTGGCAAGTACAAGGTCCTGAGTTTGACCCCTGGTACTACCAAAAAAAAAAAAAAGACAGATTGACTCTGTTTAGCAAGAGAGGGACACCTGGGCTGGGTCACCCTATCCAACCCTGCCTGAATTGCCCCATCCTTCACTCCTTCCCCTGCCTTGTTAAAACTTCACAAACATGAAAGAGATAAGGGAAGAAGAAGGACCAAGTAAAGGAAGCAGAGTCCGACCATATGCCCATATGTAGCCATAAATCTCTGGGCCTTGTTTCAGTGATGACCCGCCAAATCTTAGAGTCCTGGGCACGGCACTCCATAGCAGTCATGGTGGCATCCAGGTAAATTATATAAGCAGAAGGGGAACCAAGAACTTCACTGTGCACATTCCCAACTTGTAAAGGGCAGGAGCATGTATTGGACGCCAGCAACTAATTTATTTATTTATTTTTATTTATTTATTTATTTATTTTTTGCAGAACTAGGGATTGAACTCAGATCCTTGCGTTTGCCAGTCAAGTACTTATCCTACTGAGCCATCTCCCCGGCCCCAGCAAATAATTTATAAAGACTCTGTTATTCCTATAATACTGTCTCCCACGGACAATAATCCGAGCACTACAGCATCTCCTCCGCTCCTCAGGCTGTCATTGCTTGTGCCCATGTCCTCAAAATGCAGCACAGTGGCAGCTCCAGAAGGTCCCTGGTGAGGACGATGCCAGCACCTCACTGACCCAAAGCCAGGAAGTTGGTTGGGATTCCTGGGTAGGCAAGACCGGGGTGCCAACCAGGGCCTTCATGTTCCAAGGCCACAGTTTCTGTGTCACTGGGCCCAAGTGTCCTCTGTCCCAGTGGCCTGGAGTGTGGTGTGTGAGTCAGCCCTGGCTCTCTGCATCTGGAATTTCAATCACACTCTTTTATGTCAGGAAAGGGGCTTGGTCCATTTGTTTTTCAGTGCTGGGGATAGGACCAGGTCCACAAGCAGGCTGGGCAAATCACCATGGCCACAGCCCAGGTCTCGACCTGTTCTTGCCACGCAGGGGCCCAGGTGGCAGCAGAGAGAGCAGCAGCTACAGGAATGAAGAGCAGCATTTGTTCCATGGGAGCCTCAGGCAGCTCAGCAAGAACAGAAGGCCTCCCTCCTCCCAGGATGCGTTCAGGCTGCCCTGGACTCTGAGCTTCGGCATCCCCTCCTGAACACAGTGTCCCGCTCTGGGGACTGCAGAAGGCCAAAAGCTCCACCTTTGCCCCAAGCACAGACCTGAGGGCCAACAGGGGCTCTGGGCTCCCTCAGAGTGAGGCCAGGGCAGGGGAAGACAAAATCCTCACTGCAGACTGGGGAGCCTGAGTCTGTTCTTTACTTTTCTTTTTTTTTTTTTTTTTGGCAGAACCGGGGATTGAACTCAGACCCTTGTGCTTGCCGAGGAAGCACTTATTCCACTGAGCCATCTCCCTGGCCCCTTGTTCTCTTTACTTTTCAAGAGGCATAAAGATATTTATTTTGTTGTTGTTTGTTTTGAGGTTTGTCTTTTTTTGGAACAGGGTTCAGGCTGCAATTCAAACTGGCCTTGAGCTCACTTTGCAGACCAGGCTGACCTTGAACTCAACAATCCTCTTGCCTCAGCCTCCTGAGTGCTGGGAGTATAGGTTTGTGCCTCCACACCTAGCTTGAAAGAATTTTAAAAGTACCCACTCCAATGCTAAGATTCTACCTCACCCCAGAAAGAATGGGTGTCATCAAGAAATCAAATACAACAAATGCCTAAAAAAAAAAATTTAATTTAATTTTAAGCAATAAAACAACAAATGCTGCTGAGGCTGTGGGGAAAAAGAGCCCTTACACGCTACTGGTGGGAGTGTGACCCAGCGCCACTCTGGAGGTCACTGAGCAGAATGTGCGAAAAGCCGAAGCGGGCGACCCCATCCCCCCAGCTGCACCTGCTGCCTCTTTGCAGTGTGAACACGGTGAACCACACACACCCGTGCTGACAGCTGCACAGTTCTCACAGGTTGATTGCGGCTGCAGCCTGCAGCATGAGTGGACGAGAGGGGAAGACACAGCTGAAGCTACGCTTCGCTTCGGTGACTTAGTGCGCTTGGTACCGTGTGCACTGTGCACCTAAGCATGCAGTGCAGTACCGCTCTGCCAAGAAGGGTGAACTTGAGTCTCTGCTAGGAAAAGGCATGCATGCGGCCTGAGGCGAGAACGCTGAGGAAGTAAATAGGACACAGCTTAAGTATCACACGGCTTTTCATGCACGAGAAACCCAAAGTGTAAGCAAACAAAAATGCAGGCAAATGATAAAGCTAGGGCGTCACCCTTCCTGACTTCCAAATACGTATCTATTGTATTGTGGTTTCCTCCTCTGTGTGTATAAGGCTTAAATCCCTAAGTAATGCTCATGAGACCAATAATAAAGTAGGTTAATTAAATATTTATTTATTTATTTATTTATTTTGTGTGTGTGTGTGGCCAGCTCGGCCCACCAGGGGGCGGGGCTGGCTGGCATGTGGTGCTGGGGGATTGAACCGCGGTCCCTGTGCTTTGCTTAGCTTAGCTTGTTCTAAGTAGGTGCTTTAGACCACTGAGCCATCTCACCAGCCCCTGGGTTTGTTTTGTTTTGTTGTTTTTTAATGTTTGGGTTTTGTTTGTTGCCTCTTGATACAGGGTCTGTGTAGCCCAGGCTGGCCTCAGGCTCGCAATGGCTCTCCTGCTCCAGCCTCCTGAGTACTAGGGCAACAGGCATCCACCTCCACAGCTAGCTCTCAGATTCTCCCTGTATAAAGACCTCAGCTACGTTTTCCCCTCTGTAAGCCCAGCAGCTCTTTTTTCATCTACAGGAAACAACTGTGGCTTCTCAGGTCCAACCTACCAGCACTACTTCTGCATTAAGTGAAGGGCCACTTAACACAGCCCTGTGAGGCCACAATAGCTGATCTGCGGGGACAGGGGACAAGAAGTATAGATAGCAGAGACACCATAGCCAAAGGATGGACAAACTGGTTTCTTCAGACCCCTCAGAACAGCACAACTGAGAACTGTTTGTTTCTGAAATCTCCCATTCAGGATTTCTTGAACCACAATTGGCCACAGGTAACTAAAAGCAGAGAGAACAAGGACACAGGCCAGGCCAGACTCATTGTCCAGAGGCAGAATGGAAGGGCCGGGGTGAGGGGAGAGCCCCAGGGAGGCCAGGCAGTAGGTGCAGATCTACTGGCCCACCACTCCCACAAGCTCTTCCAAGGAAGCGCTCTGCAGTACAAAGAGGGGTCCCTGCTAATGGGGCGTCAGCTCTCGTGACGATGTGAACACGCCACTGTGCAACCCACCAAAAGGTTAACATGCCAAGTTTGTGGGTTTCTCATCACTTTTTTTTCTCCTCGTAACTGAGATTCAAATTCAGAACCTCACACTTGCCAGGCAGGCATTGTCACTGAGCTATACTGCTTTCTTAAAAAGTAGAAATTCAAAACAAAACAAACAAAAAAAAAAGTGGAAATTCAAAGCATGTAACTGCAATGAGGCCTTTTTTTTTTTTTTTTTTTTGGCAAAATTGGGATTGAACTCAGGCCTTTGTGCTTGCCAGGCAAGCGCTTATTATGCTGAGCTATCTCCCAGGCCCTGGCACTTTCTGTAGGTAGACACAGGATAATGGAGTTGGCAGGGAGCCAGGCAGCAGAGAAAGGGCTGGAGCTGGGCCCAGGAAGGAGGCACCTGGCTAGTCCCACCCTCCTGGGCCTGAGGTCAAGGCAGGCACAAGTGAGCAAACCAGGACTGGCTATAAGCAGGATCTTCTGGTCTCTAACCTGCACTACACATCAGGATGCCCTGAGCCCCTGCAACCCCAAGGCTCAGCCCAACCACATAACTGGCTGCCTGCACAATAAGCACAGGACTCAACCTCATCTTACCACCCCAGCACCTGGCCTTCGTCCTCTGCCACAAGGACTAGCCTGGAATGTCTGCCTGGGTACTCATGTCACCAGCTAGGACCTTTGTGGAGATGCAGGTATCAGCCCAGTCCTGGGAGGGGCTGGAAACTCAAGTCAGCCACACAGGAGGCCCTGAGAAAGCCCAGTGAAGCCCCACTTGTTACTTCAGGACTCCAGGAAGCATCTGTCCAGGGCTGCCCAGGGAAGTGTGGTCCCAAAGCCACAACTGGGTCACTCCCAGAATTCTGCCCAGTGAAAGCAGGTCCCCCCAGCCTTAGGCATTTCTGAGAAGAGCTCCTGTGACTTCAGTGCCCTTCAGGACTTGGCTGACCTCGTCACTCACCTTCCTTCCCACAGGTCCCTCCCTCATGGGGCACCTGGCACCCCCTCCATGAGACTCCCTGACCCCTTCCGTAGGCACAAAGGCACTATATCCACATTACAGGCAGGGATTTTTGCTGACTTTGTTCTGCAGTTCTAGGGATCAAGCAGAGGCCTGGTGCTCTGGGCTCTGCTGTGGTCAGCCAACGTCTGGGCTTTGTTCCTTGGGTGGACTGCTCAGCATGTTCCTGGACACGAATGGCCTCTGGTGCCCTCCCACCTCTCTCCCTGAAGACTAGGCTGCAGAATCAGGCCAGCATCACAATCCCCAGCTGTTGCCCTGCAGACCCTTTCTCTGGACTCTGGACCTGAGGTCACTTGTCCACGAGGGGGAAGGAACATTCACCTTGACAGAGGGCTGACAAAACCTCACCAGGTAGGGTGGCTTTTATTTGGATGGGGTTCATCTATAGTCTGCAGACATTAAATGAGGGAGAAACAGGATCTCAAAGGTGGGGGGGTAATTCAGGCCTCATAGGGAAAGCTCAGCAGCAGCCCCTCGTGGGGCCCCAGCTTCAGGGTTCCCAGATCCAGGCTGGTGCCCTCCACTCGGCCCGACTGGGTGCTGAGCAGCAGGTTGGCCTGTGCAGGCAGGCTGGCGCGGGCAGGCAGGGCCGAGGCCCCGAGCATGGCTGGCAGCTTTGCATCCCCAAAGTTGAGCACCACCAGGAACCGCTCGTTCTGGTCCCAGTGACGCACATAGGAGAAGACACCAGGTGGTGAGGACAGTGCATGGAAGTCACCGTGCAGCAGCGAGCGCTCCTTCTCCCGCTGGTCACTGAGTCTCCGAAACAGAGAAAGGAGGGAGGACGGATCCTGTGGTGAGGAAAATACAGAAGGGGTGAGGCCTCAAGACACAGGCCTCCCTACCCCTCCTGCCTGGGCCAAGTCCTCACCTTCATTGTCACATTGGTGCCCACAGATCCAGAGGTGTCAGAGAGGTTGGATTCATCCCAAGGCATGACTGGAGCCTTAGCCGGCTGGAAGCACAGAACAGGGCTGCAAAGGCTCCACCTGTCTCCCCCTGCTACCTCCCACGGTACCCCTGACCCTGCCTGGACACTGTCCCCTCTTACATCCTGGGGCTGCTCTTGGAGAGCTCACTCCAGCCTTGGTCCCCCTCACCTGCCTTCTCTGGCATAGCTCATCAGCGCCTGTCCTTTATCACACTGCCTAGCAATACGCCAGCATGCCCATGCGGTGTAGCACCCAGCGATTAACAGAAACCTATGCTAAGTGCATGGCGCCAACACTGCTAAGCCTGTGCACCCACAGCAGTGCCGCACCACCAGGCCGCTTACTGAGCACACTCCCTGTGTCCCCAGTGAACCAGGAGCTGCTAGAGGACTCAGTCCTAACAGAGCAGCTGCCACCCAAAGAAGGAAGGAATGAAGGTACCAGGCACTGACATTACAAAAAAAACAGGCTGGCTATGCCGGCAACACCTATAGTCCCAGCTACTTAGGAAACTGAGCCAGCCTGGGCAACACAGCAAGGCCTCCCAATCATTGGATGAGAAACCCAACGCCACAGAAGGGGTGACAAAAGGTAAAATGACTCGGTCAAGGCCGTGCAGCCACTGAGCAGGAACAGAGCCCAGTTCTGGCCCGAAGCGGGGTCTCGGCTACCAACCCAAGCCAGCCCATCAGGACCTGGTGGGTGACCACAACTTCCCTGATGTGTGGGAAGGAGAGCAGCACCTGTCCAGGAAGAGTGACAGCCTGCAGCCCGATTTCATCACCATAGCTGAACACAGGGGTGCCAGGCAGGGTGAAGAGCAGCAGCTGGTAGAGCCGGAGGAGCTGAGCGGGCACGAAGGACGTCACGAGACCAGCCTGTGACACCTGCATGGCAAACAGACCCCGTGAGCCCAAGCCCACTTCCTTTTTTATTTTTTATTTTTTTGGCGGAACAGGGGCTTGAACTCAGGCCCTTGCACTTGTCAGGGAAGCGCTTATTCCACTGAGCCATCTCCCTAGCCCCTCCAAGCCCACCTCCTGCACTGCTGTCCCCCATGGCCCTGGCTCCCATGCACTCACACTCCAGCTGCACCAGCGGCCAGCTGTGCTGTTTAGATACTGGGTGACCAGGAACCTCATATGCTCCCCAGTGGAGTTGGGGTTCAACAGGTAGGAGCTGGTCAGCAGCATATCCTGTGTGGACTCCAGGAGGCTCAGGAGCTGCTGCAGGTCGGAGGAGTTGGTGCCCGCGATCAAGAGCCTGCGGAGGCAAGGCTGGTGCCAGGCTGGCCTGGGATGGGACAAACCCAGGGCCCCAGGGGAGCAGAGTCAGGGCTCCCGATGCCCACCTGTCTTTACTGGAGCTCCTGGTGATATTCTCCCACTCGGCCAGAAAGGATGATGCATCCTAGAGGAATAAGGCAGAATTAAGCCTCAGCCTGGGCAGAGATGCTGCCCTCACCAAGAGTCAGCTTGCGTGGAGAGAGGGGCTCACCATCAGGTCCTCAACGTCCTGGACCTGGAATCCGTCCACTCCAGCCTTTAGCCAAAAGCTCAGTGCTTCCTACGGGGTGGAGAGGAACACAGAAACAAGCAACACATAGGTAAAGGCTCATGAGACACTAGCCCACAATCTCACCCACGCCTGCAGCCCTAGGATGTCCCCTCCACCTCTGCATCTGACCCCCCCACAGAATCTTAAAGTGCTCCAGCACTAGATTTCTCCACTCCTGCCTCTGGCAAATACACAGTTTCACCTTAACATATACAAAAAAGGCCCAGGAGAAAGTGTATCAAAATACAACTTCAGGGGGCTGGTGAGATGGCTCAGTGGTCTAAAGCGCCTACTTAGAACAAGCTTAGCAAAAACAAAGGGACAGCGGTTCAATCCCCCAGCACCACATGCCAGCCAGACCCACCCCCTGGTGGGCTGAGCTGGCCACACACACAAATAAATAAATAAAAAATTAAAATAAAAAAACTTCACAGGGCCGGGGAGATGGTTCAGTGGAATAAGTGCTTCTCTGGTGAGCACAAGGGCCTGAGTTCAATCCCCATTTCCACCAAAAAAAAAAAAAAAAATACAACTTCACTTAACACCTCACAGGAAGACCAGTATCCTCTACTTTGTTTTGTTTTTGTTTCTTTTTTTGGCAGAACCGGGATTGAACTCAGGCCCTTGCACTTGCCCGGGAAGCGCTTATTCTACTGGGCCATGTCCCCGGCCCTTGTTTGCGTTTCTTGACACAGGGTCTTACTACATACATAACCCAGGCTGACCTTGAACTTGGAGGCATCTTCCTGCTTCTGCCCTGATTACAGGCATGTGCCACCATGCCTGACCAGAGTCCTCTATCTTGGAGATGAGGAAACAGGCCCAAGAACCAAGGAGCCACCATCACAGTGAGGGAGAAGCAGTGGCCAGACCTAGTGTGCCAGGCAGCCGCCGCTGTGAGTGGCCTCACTCCCTCCAGTCTCCCAAGAGCTGGTGAAAGGCACAAGGCCAAGGATGAAAGATCGGAATTCAAAGCACAAACCCTTGAAGCACTGGGAACAGGCCTGGCCTGGCCCTGGCTGTCAGGCATCTGGCACAAGTCCCAACACTCACCCCCACCACCCTTTCCTTTCCCTTCATTCTCACTTCTCCTCCTTTGGTCTGCATTTCCAGCTGAGGGTGGCCAGACTGCCCCATCAATCTGAAAGCTGTCCCTTGCCACCACCTTTTCAAGGTCTCCCAGCAGCTGTCCAGGACCAAACTCAGTGGTCCTGGGGTCCCACCCAGATGCCATGATAACAGAATTTTCTCTCAGAATGGGCAGCTGCATGAGACATCAGGACTGCCCATTCTGAGCTGCCAATGCCCCAGGAGCCAGGCAGGAGCTGGGTGCCAGTAAAAGCCATACCCCAGCATGCCAGGCACAGCTGGAGTTGCTACCTTGGAGGCCAAGGTGGGAGCACAAACTACTTGGATTTCACATCTGGGGCACTGAAAGCTCCTTTGTGCCTGCTTGCTTGTTTACAGATTCAGGACAGTAACAGGTACTTTGTATCTACAGGGAATTAGGAAATATCTATGAAACATATGGCATGGTCCCAATCACAGAGAAAGACCCCAGAGCTTACAATTTCAGACAGGGCAAGTTAGGTGTAGTGGCCCATGCCTATAATTTCAGCACCAGGGAGCCTAAGGCAGGAAGATCACTGAGCATTGCGGGCTACCTGAGCTACACTGTGAGACCCTGTCTCAAAAAAAGCAAAACAAAACAAAATTTCAAGTCAGGCTTTACTCCAAACACATCAAACAAGGACCGGGAAGCCAGGCAAGACAGGATTCCCACAGAGAAAGACAGGACTTCCTATCTTGAAGAGAAGGAAAATCAAACTTGCAGACAGACATCTGACAAGTTCCCTTCCTGGCGCCAGGTTATCCCCAACGTCAAGGAAACAAGAAAAACGAGAGATCACAAAAGAAACAAACACAGGGGTGCTCTGTAGGCTATCCTTTGGGCTGCAGGAAGAAGAGTCCCTGAGCTCAGGGTGGGCGAAGGACTCCCTCAGGTGCTACTGAGTTCCCAGCACACAGCACTCACCTTCACCTTCGCGGTGGTCGCATTCGCCTGCTCTGGGAGGAACCAGGAGTTCTGGCCCCGATAGTTGGGAGTGAGGTCCAGGACAACACGGATGCCTGAACAGTGAGGGTAACAAAGTGAGAAATTCAAAAAACCTTGCTGAGTGTTCCCGCCAACACGGAAGCGGGTAGGGCAGAACAGCACCGAAAGCTATGGGAGCCCCGAGAACCTTTTCATTTAAACATGTTTCTGTATGAGCTGGATGACAGTATTTGGGGTCCCCTTCTAAAGAATCCACAGTGGTGTAAGTCTAAAACCCCCGAGGGAGTGGGGCTGCTCACTGATCCAACACAAGCCCACCTGGTGGAAGTACAAGCACTAAAGCCCAGAAGTCACGAGACCTTGGGTCCAAGCCTGCCGGCCCAAGCCCTTTAGCAGCACTCCAGACAAGAACCGACCAGGCCAACCCCCTTCTCACTGGCCCCACCTGGGAGGTCCCAGCACTCACTCTTCTTCTGGGCCGCCCGGAGGAGGCTGTCAAAGTCCTCCCGGGAACCAAGCACGGGGTCGATCAGCTGTAGGTCTGTCCCGGCCAAATCACCCTCCAGGTTCTTGTGAATGGGCCCAAGCACTAGGCCCTTCACCTTCAGGGTGCTCAAGTAATCCAGGCGCCCCCGCAGCTCTGTAGGAGGGGCACGTTCACCAGGAGGCCTCAAGGGCCAAAACCCTCCCGCCTGGCCCGGGTCACGAGGCCACAGGGAGCTGATGCAAGGAAGGCGTGCGCTGAGTCAGCCTCCTCTCAGGAGGGGGAGCGCCGGGCACGGCGGTGACGGCCACACACTCACCCGACAGGCCGCCCGCGAAGGCACGCACATCGCCCACGCGGTAGAGCGGGCCGCGGTGCCACCAGGCCTGCGCGGGCAGCGGGCGGCAGCGTGGCGCGCGCACGATGATGGCCACGGCGCCGGCCAGCATGCCGAGCCAGCCCAGCCAGAAGAGCAGCAGCAGCGCGGTGCGCGCGCGCGCCCAGCCGCGGCCCCCCGCGGCCGCCAGCAGCTCCTCCTTGCTCAGCCCCGTGAACTTGGCGCCCGCCGCGGGCTCCGCGCCGCCCGCCACCTTCGCCTTCACCAGCCCGTTCTTCTCGCCGCCCGTTGCCATCGGCTGCTTCTCGGGGTCCAGCTCGCTGAGCTCCACCTCCTTCATGTCCACTTCGGTGTCGCGGCTCATGGTGCCTACGGGCCGAGACGCGAGAGAGCTGAGCTCGGCTTCGGACCGACCTCGCGCTGGGCCACGGCAGGACTGGGCGGCCCGCTGGGCGGGAAGCGGAAGCGAGCGAGCTGGCCGGCCGTGCCACGCCCAGCCAGGCCCCGAAGGCGCCTCCCCGGCAGGCCTGGCCCCGCCCCACCCACTCGGAGGACGGCGTGGGGACAACCTCTGGCTTCAGGAAGCCTCAGGGTTTCCAAATTTTTCTCTATGCAACCTCGGAAGGGCTCGAAATTGCCATTCCCTGCGTCAGCCTCCTGGGTGTTGCGATCGTAAGCGTACACACTAACTCCGGGTCGCAAAGTCCCACTTCTCAGCCTAGTCCGACCTACGCTCAAACGCTGTTCAGCCTTCAGGAGGCCAGGCTCTGCTTGGTTCCACCGCCCCTCCAGGCCCCAATCGGGAGGCCGCCGCGACACCATCCCCCAGCGCCCGGCAGCCTAGGACACCACAGGACCAGCCTGGCTGTCCCACTAAGCTGCACCCTGACTCTCCAAGCAGCTATTTCTAACAGCTCACACTAGTCTTTTTTCCCTCTACTAGGAAGCTCGGCCTGGACCCCTTCTTGCCCCATCTGCCCCGGATTCTGGCACCAGGCTGTTTGGGGGTGCCCAACATTCCAAAGTTGGGGTGCAGGCAGCCACTTCTCAACTCTATCCTCTTCCACATAGACAAGACTCCACCCCGTGGAGCTCCCAGTCTTCCTGAACTCCCCGTGTGGGCACTGTTAGGCCTTGTGAGCAGCAGGCCCTGAAGCTCCTCCAGAGGCCCTGGCAGAGGAGAGGGGCACCAACACTAGGTAGGAGGTGTCAGCAGACTCAGGAACTCCTTGTTCCTAGGCACAGCCAGCTGGCTTATCTTCAGGGAGGAGCTGCCTCTCCCACCCAGGCTGCAAGCCAGAAAGCAGAAACCAGGGTCTGAGGGAACAGCAGAGAAAGGGTTGTAAAAGGCTCATCCTCTGCCTCCACACCCAATAGGCCCTCCCACCCCCTGGAGCAACAAGAGCAGCTCAGGCAGTTGGCAGGATGAGGCTCCGTCTCACGCCAGGCTCAGAGATGGCATACCTCCTCTCCTGTGAAAGCCCAAGGTGGCAGCTCTCCTCCAAGGAGAGCACTTTGCAGCTAGGGCTCCAGGTCAACTGGGCATTCCTCTGCAGCCTCCCAGAACCTATCCACTCACAGGCCAGGCCACAGAGGCCTTCTGACTCCTCTGTCTCCACACCTGCTGGGCCTTCCCGCTCCACCTGGAGACCTTGCACAAGTTCAGTGTTCTCAACTCCCAGCCAGAACAAGTGCTGCACAGTGTGGCCCCTGGCTCCAGCTTGCGCCCTATCCCTTACGGGTCCTTGCTAAGATGCCGCTGGAGAGCCTATCTACACTCACAGCAGATGGCAGCGGCTGGCACGGGCTCACCAAGGGAGGGACTGTGGCAATCAAACCCACATATTTCCCTTCTTAGAAACAACTGAACAAAAGTAGTATGTGTAAGGGCCAGCAAGATAGCTCAGTGGACTAAGCGCCTGCTTTGGCAAGCACAGGGACAGGGTTTGACCCCTGGTCCACCATGCCATGCCAGCCCCTTCCCCTATGCAACCCAGGGAAGGCTTGGAATTGCCATCCCCTGCCTCTGTCTCCTAGGTGCTGCAATCGCAAGTGTACACGCTGACTCTGCATTGCAAAGCCCAACTTCTCAGCCTAGTCCAACCTACACTCAAAAGCTGTGGCACATGGCTATAATCCCAGTACTGGGAAGGCTGAAAACAGGAGGATTACCATGAGTCCAAGCTGTGTAGTGAGACCCTGTACCAAATACATAAATGGAAAAAAAAAAAAAAAAAAAAAACTTATGTGAAAGTTCAAGGATGACAATGAAAAGAAATGTAAGGGGCCGGGGAGATGGCTCAGTGGAATAAGCGCTTCCCTGGCAAGCGCAAGGGCCTGAGTTCAATCACTAGTTCCACAAAAAAAAAAAAAAAAACATACTAAGAAAAGAAATGTAAAAGACACTATTGGGGGCTGGGGAGATGGCTCAGGAGAATACGTACTTGCCTGGCAAGCACAAGGGCCTGAGTTCAATCCCCGGCTCTGAAAAAAAAAACTACTGGATCAAGATGAAACTTTCTATCCAGGCACTGTGCTCTGTGCCTGTAATCTCAGCAGTCGGGGAGGCTGAAACAGGATCACAAATACAAGTACAGCCTGAGCAATTCACCAACTGAGTAAGACTCTCTTTCTAAAGAAAACATAGAAAGGGCTGGGAAATGCCGACCAAATACCTCAGCAGATTAAAGCACCTGCTTAGGCAGATGCAGCAGCTGGGGTTCAATCCCTGGCATGCCATGTCAGACCTGTCCATGGGGTGTGCTGAGATGGTAATTGAAACTGGGTGTGGTGTTGTGCCTGTAATCCCAGCTCTTTGGGAGGCTGAACACAAGCAGACCACTTGGAGTCAAATCTACATAGTGAGACTCTTTGTAGGTCCTCACTAAAAGGGGGTGGGGGGCTGGGGATGTAGCTCAGTGTGACAGCTATGGGTTCAATCCCTAATAGTATACCAAAAAAGAAAAAAAGTACTAAGTCTAGGGGAGGAAAACAAGACTAGAGATGGAAGCCAAAGATACTAGGGCATATGAAGCAATGTCCACAGCAAGAATGGAAAAGTGCTATTTGTCAAGAAGAATTTAGGCTCTTTCGAGTCCTCCTTTTCAAGATGATGAAAAAAAAAGAAGGAACAATGGTCATGCCAAAAAGGGCCATGGTCATGTGCAGCCTATTTGCTGCATGAACTGTGCCTGGTATGTACCCAAGGATAAGACCATTAAGGAATTTGTCATTCAGAACACAGTAGAGGCTGGCACCATCAGGGACATTTCCAAAGTATCTTCGACACTTGTGTGCTTCCCAAGCTGTATGTGAAGCTGCATTACTGTGTGAGTTGTGCCATTCATAGCAAAGTGGTCAGAAATCGATCTCATGAAGCCTGCAATAACTGAACACCTCCACCTTGGTTTAGACCTGCTGGTACTGCCCCTAGACCTCCACCAAAGCCCATGTAGGGGGAGCTAGGTCTTAATGAACTGAAGAAAACTCTCTTGAGAAAGAAATAATAACTCAAGGATCTGAGTTCAATCCCCAGTTCCGGAAAAAAAAAAGAAAGAAAGAAAGAAAGAAAGAAAGAAAGAAAGAAAGAAAGAAAGAAAGAAAGAATAAATTGAATGTTATACTTTAAAAAAAGAAGAATTTAGCCTTCAAGAGAAAGTTAGGGCCTTGGGGCCAGGGAGATGGCTCAGTGCAATAAGCGTTTCCCTAGCAAGCCCTTTCCCTGGTTCCACCAAAAAAAAAAAAGAAAGAAAAGAAAAAAAGAAAGAAAGAAAGTTAGGACCAAGCAAAGTAAAAGCATCAGAGCCATCAAGAGGCACTTGAGCAGCAGCCCTGCATTGGAGCCCAAAGGCAGGGAAGGGAAAGGCGCTGTCCAGGCCTGCCACAGGGCCAGAACTCTCCTAACTCTTCACCCCAGGTTAAAAGGGTTCCAGAGGCGATGGGAGGGTAGGTGCAGCCCAAGGAGGCCCTGACCAACAGGCCCAACGCCCCAAAGCAGGGTTGCCACAGTCAAAGCCTGTGCAGTACAGAGGAGCATAAAGTCCAGGAAGAATAAAAACATTCAACAAGGGACCGGGGAGATGGCTCAGTAGAATAAGCGCTTCCTTGGCAAGCACAAGGGCCTGAGTTCAAGCCCCAGTTCCGCAAAAAAAAAGGCAACAAGGCATTTCTTAGAAAAGAGAAAAATGCACTGGGCCAGGGATAGAGCTTAGCAGCATAGCACTTGCCTGGCAAGTACAAGCTCGAGTTTGATTCCTGGTATTAAAAAAAAAAAAAAAAGACAGGAAGGAAGGAAGGCACCATCTGCAAAATAACTGACACTCAAATAAGCACCAGTGAACACTGCAGCAAGCCACATACTCCAGTGCAATCTAATCTGAAAAGATAAACACCAGAGTGCCAGAATGGTGGCACACCAGCCTTGATATGTAATGGATTTAAAATACTGAGAAAAATAAAAAGAGGGCTGGGATATAGCTTAACTAGAGCACTTGCCTAGCATGTGCAAGGTCCTACATTCAATCCCAGCACTGAAAAAATACACTGCAATACAGGTTAGTGTGAAGGGGACAGAGAGAGACCAGAGTGGTACCTATCATGAGTGGTATCCCCCCAGCTCATTCCAGACTTAACATGGACAGTTGTTTCTCCCAAAGTGTTGCTGAAACCTGACTTTGGGAGAGTATTCAAAAGAATGTCAAATGAGAGCTGGGGCATAGTTCTGCAGTGGGCCTAAGTCACTATGCTATCTAGGCTGGGCTCAAACTTGCAATCAACTTGCCTCTCAGCCTCCCAGAGAGCTGAGATAACAGCTATACCAGTCTGGGTCCCTGGTTTGTTTGTTTTTTTCCTCCCGGTTTTTTTTTATTGGAACCAAGATATGGGCATTTAGTATCCTATTTTGCTGGACTAGGGATTGAATCCAGGGGTTTGTGCACATAGGCAAGTGCTCCATCAGAGCTACACTCACTTGCTCCAGGTGTGTTTTACAATCAAAAACTTTGAATCAAAAACGTAGCCAAGGGGCTGGAGAGATGGCTCAGTGGTCTAAAGCACCTACTTAGAACAAGCTTGGCAAAGCACAGGGACCGCGGTTCTATCCCCCGGCACCACATGCCAGCCAGCCCCGCCCCCTGGTGGGCTGAGCTGGCCACACACACACACACACACACACACACACACACACACACACTAAATAAATGTAAAAAAAAAAAAATAGAAATTACCTTAAAAAAACATAGCCAAGGGCTAAGGAGATAGCTCAGTAAGATAAGCATAAGCACCTCCTGGGAAGCACAAAGTCTTGAGTTCAATCCCCCGTTTTTTTTTTTTTTTAAAAAAAGAAAAATGTAGCCAAAGTCAAGCATGGT